GAACATTTTATAAAATTAATATTGAAACACAAAGTAAAGTTTTTTAAAAAGGTTAAAAATTTTAAAAAATAACAATTAATAACAATTAATTTAAATACAAAGAGAAATCAAATTAAATAATGTAAATCATATTTCTGTACGATGGAAAAATAAAGCATCACAATCGCATAAAAGCTTCCGCTTTTGAAATAACTCTGCCTCACTTTCTTTCTCTCTCTTTACGATGGGATGAGCTCGCCATATGGAGCGACAAAAGAAAAAGCGCAGTTACGATAAATTGCATTTCCCAAGGAAAGCGGCTACTTCGACTTCAACGTTTCCTGTTTCCTGGCTTCGTTCTACGTGCTTGCTTCGTCTTGTATATACATACGTATCTATCTACAAAACTACAATATCGAAGAAAATTCCGATAAGAGTCTAAAAGGAAATCGTTTCGTATTCCTTCTTCAACGGTAAGAGATGTTTCAGCTTTATGATTTCATAGACATAATTTTTAAATGATTTTAAGACATTTGATTTTTTATCGATCCACTTGCGCGACCTCACGTTTAATCGGGATTCTTTTCTCGTGTCCTTCGGTTGTATCTATTCTTCACGATATCGTTTTTCCTCTGTTATCGCACGCGACGATCGATACACGCGCGAGCATCGTTCCTCGTTAATTAGAAAGGTGATAGCCATTAATTGTAGTTTGAGAATCGGCACCCGCGTTGTGGTTCGCTCCGCAATTAAGGCACGCTAATTGAACGCTTCCAATTATGAAGCCAGAGAGGCCGCTGGCGAGAGCAGTACAAAAAAATGTAGCTCGCTTCTATTCCTGTCCGCGGCTTGTGTCTGCCGCACGTCTAACGAAACGAGATAAAAATTTGTCGATCATATTTTCGTCTCATACAGTCGCATCTGTCGTTTTCCTTGTCAGATTTCTGTTGTGATCGCGACAATTCGACGTGGGAAGCAACTGCGACCGAACATTAACACGTCACATCTAGTTGCGATCGATTTTCCTCCTAATTGTTCCCAATAACCGTTGCCGGAAATATAACGAGAGAGATTTCACCTTCGTAATGTCCACCGAAACAATCCAGGGAAAGCTCGAGATAGCGTGAGAAAAGTGAGTTACAATCGCGAATGTTAGCGAGATGAAAACGGTCACGGGCTTTGTACAACCGACAGTGGCAATTCAACTTTTCTCTCTCTCTCTCTCTCTCTCTCTCTCTCTCTCTCTCGAACATTTTCAACGACGTTGACACTTCAGATGTCGTATATCGATTTAGCGGATTATTCGTTCGACTGCAGCTGATAAAATTGTATAGAAGAGAATTAGGTTAAACCTAATTCTTGCTAAATCGCATATTTCAACAGTATTTCCATCTATTTTCCATATTGCTCTATTACTTACCGCTCACATACGCACGTTTATTTTTCGTCACTATTATTTTATGAAAAGTGATGTATTAAATCGTCAGAGCTGCATTGCGGTTTATTGAAACGTAACTGTAACGTTATTCTGACGTGTATATTCTGATATGTATTCGTTGATTTATACTGGGAATTATTAAAATCGTTCTATTATGTTAAACCCATCTCTTCTCGCGGATATACATCTCCTTCCCAAAGGCAAGGCGTTGGGGTAAATAGCACTGTTGCAAACACCACTTCTCTGGCCCTTGTCATGTATTCCCCCAAAGTAGTAAGGAAGAGAGAGAAGCAAGGGAGTAGATCTCGACGCGTCGGATAATGCATCCCGGGTCAGAGCTGTCTGTCACGCACAACCACAAATTCAGACGATGCTTTTCGGATTTCGCCTGGCATTCGTCAGGCTCCTTCTCGCCCACGATGAAAATGTCCGTATTACACAAGTGAAATCCTAGACATGAAAGCGATGCGTCTGTTATCTTAAACTGCGACCTATTTTAAATGAAAATACGGACAATTCATATGGTCACACACGGGCATTGTTTGAAGTATCGTAAATGTTAGATCCAGTCTTTAATTAAGTCTTTGTTCCTATTTGCATAATTAGCAATGAAATTTGTTGAAATTTCTTCTGCACTCTACAAGGCGTCTTTAATAGTTTAAGAAATTGCTGTACGACCTCAGCAAACTGCTCGAGATTTTAATTAAACTTTCCCTGGAAAGCCCTTAAGGCGATGTAAAATGTTAAATTGAACCGAATTCTTTCCCCGATTCTCAAGTAACACTTTCTTTATTTTTAGAAAATGTTCCACTTCTCGTGGAAGCGTGTCAATGAGATCTTAATGAAATTTTTCCTCTGCGATTTTCAGCGGTGAAGTAATTTCTCGGTTTGATTACGCACGTTTTACCAATTGAATTTCAAAGGAACTGAGCGATGACTTTGCAGCAATGTACCCTTTACACCGAGTTTTCCCCACAAATTACTTTCCTACGAATTTTTTCTTTCGATAGCATGAACAACGTGCCAGCACGTAGACGATACTCGCTTCGGTCCTAACTCCTTCCCCCCCACTTTCTCTCTACGTTTCCTTTCCACCTGCCGAACCTTCTAAAAGTTCGCCGAGACGAAAGTTCGACGCGGGTAGATTCCAAAGTACGGATTTGTTTTTCCACATCGGTATTTACTTTTTCACGGTGCGATGCATAGAATGAATGAAAAAGGAGAGCCGCTGAGGGATAGGTCTTCCTTCCTTCTTTTCTTTTTCTCCTCCTTTTTTCACGTTCCGCGAGCACATTCCGTCCGACTGCGTATTTCTATTGAAAGGCGATGATGAATGGCTATTGGGATAAAGTTATGCGGCGCGCCGGCGTTAATGTTGCGAAACACACACATTTGAAAACTGGGTAAATTCGATTTACGATGCGCCCAGCAGCGCATATACCTTTTACGTACGATCGAACGCAGAACCTCAGATTGCCACCGCGATGGTTGCAAAGAGATTTATACGAAAATTGTCGCAGTTTCCCCGCATTCATATCGACTAGCTTTATATTGATCAAAATACCTGAGACATCATTTCTACGTCGAAATGTGAAATTAATGCTTTGACAACCGATACGAAATTATTAATACTAGTGGCTATTACATCAATTTTAGTATGAGAATCTTCAACGCATTACGTAATCTGCGTTTATTTCGACTCATCGACTATGATTCTTATTATATTTTATCCGTCAATCTCGAACGACGATCTCTTCCGAAGAATAAAATTCTAATAAAAACAAACGGTACGAGAACGACATGACTCCGGTCATCGTTCCAACAAAGAAAAGACAACGCAGAAAAGAGGTCAGAAAAGAGGAAACTCATTCTATTTTAGAGACCCTCCGGTCTCTCCTTTTCCATCCTCATAGAAATTCCGTGCTGTTTGCTGGCGTTCGCCATGTCGGAGAGCCGTAAGCAAAATGCCGCGGTGCTACACAACCATACATAACCGTAGCGAGATAAGGTAGGGTCGAGTCACGGAGAGTAATGCATCTCGTAGACGTAGGGAATGAAAATTTACCCCTCGACCCTTTCGTCTATCGCGACCATGCTTAATTCGACCGTTACGCTAACACGAAACTTTCCTCTTCTGCTTTCAGGGACAAGATCTTCAGGCTAAATCTGAGTAACATCAGTCATTCCAATTGCGAGGTAAGTTGTCCAGATTTTTGTACATTCCGATTTCTACTGGTTTAACATGCGTCTAATGCGTTACATTCACGATTCGAGTTTACTATTCATGTGTTTAAAATGATGAATTAAACCTATAATTAAAGTCGCATTTAGCTTTAAATGTGAAAACGTGATCACCTGCTGTGTTTTAGTATGATGAAGCTTTTAGAAACAACTTTGTAAAACTTTAACAAGGTTTATAACTTTTAATTACATAATACGTTCAATAAAATGTTATAAATTTTGATATATTTAAAGAACATTTCAACTGTATTTAAAATGTGAAGACAGTAGCCTTCATAGTTATATTTTCTGGAATTGAGAAAGAAATCTAAATGAATAGAACGCAGTTTTAATACTATTTACAAACCGTAAACCTTGAACTCATTGTTTCTCAAATATCGTATAAAGAATTCATTTGCTAATTAGAAAGAACCTAGTCTACCGTACTACGCCCTTTTTTTCCCCGCGGCCATCCGCGTATCGATTAGCATCATATGTCACATAATGTTTAGCCCCCGTTTGAGGGAAGAAGGGATGATAAAACCAGACCCCGATCGTAACTAGAAAGTGCATGGGCTCTGCTCGTCCCCATAAAACTGTCAATCACGCATAGTCGAGCGAAACGACACCGACATCATTGGGACAGCTGACGCGTATCTGCCGGTTAAGCGATCCATTGTAGGCAAACGAATCGTACGATGATTTTTCCACGGTCTCCCTCGTCGGTGGGATTCGGTTTAAAAGCTCATATATTCTACTCGCAAAGTGCATTTGCGTATCGTACGAATGATGCCTGAGACATAAACAATTACGAGTACATTTTAATCCTCCGCCGGCAATGTTGATCTTTAAAGGTAGATTTTTTTGATTGTGAATTTTGATCGAGAAATTTGAATTTTCTCTCTCTCTCTCTCTCTCTCTCTCTCTCTCTCTCTGTGAAAAATAAGTAAAATATTATTCAAATTCTATGATAATAAATATTCATTGTTCCACAAGTATATAAGAGTTTTTTTAATTTTTATATAATCTGCACTGAAAAAATGCATATAATTTTACATGGAAATTATATATTTATGACCGGAAAATATGATTGGAAATTTATAATTTCCAATAAATTTCCAGTAAATTTCCAATCATATTAGATGTGAGAAAAAGTTCGTGGCGTTTTTCCTGTTAGATGGCATTAAAAAAACGCCACGAATTTTTTCCCATACCTAATATTTAAATAATTTTCCAGTCATAAACATGTAATTTCCATAAAATTACATGCATTTTTTTTTTAGTATGAAATAATCTACACTGAAGTTCGGAGACTTAGACTCGCGGACGAAGAATAGAAATTCTACATTCTCAACGGAGGGTTAATTATGATGCTATTACAGACCTGATAGAAATGTATACAGTTTTCCTAGACATTTGTCCAGTTACTATCTAATATTACTGTATTCTCATTAGTTGTGTCAATATTTAATAGGAAATAGACAAGAACTTGATAGAGTTTTCTGTTCATTTCATGAGCAATTGATTTGCTTATTAATCAATTTAATATCCATTATTTGTTGTTTGTTCTATTCAATAACTGGATTCAGATTTTACGCAACTTTTGTATGCAGTTATTGCAAGCAAAGCGTTACATCCTGATTGGGATCCCAAACAGTTTTCCTTCTCAGTTACTAGACAGAAGTTGGTGTAACTATTTAGTAGCTGCTCAAACAATACATGAAATTTTTATCAAGAAGAATTTACAGAATATTTTGTTTTCTGTGCCGTTTTTTTAGATTGAGAATCATCATTTTATCATACCTTTGAAACGCAGCTTTTTATATTATGCACATATTTTTTTTATGTACGAAAGCTGGCAGGTGAATTTTAGCAAATGCGCTTGATCGTTAAAGATTGAATCAAATTCGCTGTGTCGAGATCTCGCCTCCGATGTGCCGAGAACGACGGTCAGCTGCCAGACTCTCGGTTGGAGAGGGAAAATTGCTTTTTAACTCTCCCCGTTTGCGACAAGATGTGACGAGTCGCATCCACCTGGCGGTGACTATCTACGATTCTACTCATTCGGCTGACTCTCACCGGGACAAAATTCGATCATCGACATTGTTCGTCGATTTGTTCTTTTCGGAGAGACAACGAACGCCCCCCGGCTCGATTGGAAAATCACCGTTCCTCCACCTGCCTCGACCCACCCTTACTCTCGACCTAGCTTCCGGCAAGAAGTTCGTATCTTCGGGTACTTCGTGCAACGTTGGAATTTCCACGCGTTATCACGATTTTACAGTGTCGATTTCTACTGTTCTAGAAAATAAACGGTTACCTCGGACTTTCCTTGTGAAAGAGGTGAAGGATACTCGAATGATATAACAAAAACACTTAGAGCGATTATACAGCGAACATTTTATTGGAGATAAACTTATACAGGATAATTCTGAGTATCGCTCTATGTAGCGAGCACTTTTCTTAAAAAAGATATTAACATCAAAAAGATAGTTACTCTTAAATAAAAAGACAATTACTTTTACGTAAAAAGAAAAAAATTATTCTTACATAACAAGACACATTACTCTTTTTTTTATTAAGGAGTTTATAATATTATTGATTTTTTCCGCTTGTTTAACATATATAGAAACTTCAATAAAGAAAGAAAAAGGTCGTTTTCTGAACATAGACAAAAAACGATGAAATCATGGTTTAATATTGGGAAAGAAAAGGCGATTCGAAAATGTAATTATATTTGTTGAATCCACCATCTGTCGTGAGAATGAAAAACCGCCCTTTAAATAGGAGAGACAGAGAAGAATAGATATCCGCCCTTGTCGTTTCTCGTTGATCTTCATGCCAGATGCGACGATTGTGGTATCACTGAAACTAATTTTAACGTGGATGACAATGCGGTCAGTGGATACACAGAAACCAGAGACGCGAAAACATCGAAGCACGACGTTATAGTTCACTCCACGCCACGAGAGTTTTGCTGGGTCGCTCATGATCATTAAATAGATACACGGAACGAATTGATGTACACGCGCGAATTATTCGGCACGGACAAGCCGTTCTGCTCAAGTTACTCCAGAGCTTTCACCGCGGAGCGATAGAGTTTGCATGAACTGTAACTTATGTTTCGCATGCTGGGTTTCCGCTGAGTAACTTGCGCGAAAATGTGTCAACGATAGCGATAAAGTTATGTTTCACATAAGCTTCGAAGTTTGAGAAACGATGAAATAATTTCAACCATCGGTTTCGCCAGCGATAAATAATTTTGTTATATGCTTACATTGCAATTATTATTATAGTAAAAGAATTTTGTATTTGTGTTAAAACCGATTCACTCAAGCCCTTATTATAATTTTGTGTCGAATTTTTAACATATCCGAATGTTAATTCAACATGTGATTATTGGTGGACATACAACTGGAGACGAGAAAATGTGAAAGTACAGCATTGTGATTACTTATGTTATTTGAATATTTTGTGTTAAATTGATATTCAACATTTCTTTCTATCAAAATAACATTTATGAATAAATGAATAAAGAATATAATTATATAATGTAAAATGTAAATTCTAAGATAAATGAATAAAACATACGTGTTGATTTTACATATCATAAATATTAATTTTACTGAAGAAATATGCTTCCATAGTTTGCTTACACATTGTGTTAGTATTATATTTTTAGTATTATATTTTTGTTAATTTTTTGCATAATATTTTTTTCTGTTATTATTTAACTTGTATAAAATTAACACAAAAATTTAAGTGGACCATTTGGGACACATGAAATGTATTAATACAAATTTTCTGTATATATACAATTTCGTCTACGTTAAACAATTAATCATATTGGTGTGCGTATTATAAAATATGAAAACGTGTCGAGAATTTTGCTAGATTTGTTCTTTGGTAAATTTTACTGCCGTCTGATTTTGTTATTTCGCAATGTGAATGCTTGGTCCATTCAGCTTGGCTACAATGAAATCACATTGCGAGATCGGTCTGTTACCAGAGTTCGATTCCATTGAGAATTAACGAGTATGGAATTTCAATTTTCGTAGCGATGTGGCCGTAAAACGTTAACGCGGGCCCGAGCAGGCCACAGTAGTCCCCTTCTTTCGTTCCTTTGTGTTAAGTCCCTGGAGCATTTCGTTCTGCGGGGGATGCTGTCATGGGGTAAACTGGAGATACATGGACGCGAGGTGAAGGAAACGCAAGAAAGAATACCGCGCATAAGATGATACAATTTTGCATTTTACATATATGCATGATGATCGTCCGGCTGCTAGAAACAGGAAGGGATCGCTATATGGATGCTGTGAAGGAGATACAGCATCGAATGGGGTCAGATCGACTCGAAGGCATTAGTTATATATATCGTAAATCGAGCGGACATGTGATAAAAGAATCGAAATCGAGGTGAAAGATGATGATAAAAGCGGAAAATGTCAAATAATTAAATATTAAACTTGTAAATGCGGCGGATATAATTCTATAAGCAATTATTATGTATATATATATAT